CGGCCTCCCCTCCAAAGAAAATCTTTGCTCACCAGCTAATGGACGATGATGCGATACGCAGGGAAAGGCATTGGGCCCGCGACAGGCAAAATACAATAAAATTAAAAAAAAACAAACAAAACAAACCACAAAACAACAGAAAAAAACAACTTTACATAGGATAATATTACATTCTCTTTTCCTAGTTTCATTCTGTACATCAGAACACTGCAAGGGTTTTTAAAAAAAAAAAAAAGGCAAAGGCACCTGAGGAGCGAGTCGCACGCGTGTGCACAGACGTGTGCACACACACGCGCGCACACACACACGCACGCACGAGCCGCATCCGTCCATGGGAGGATTTGGGTGACCTGGGGCCCCGGGAGTGTTTTGAGGCAGCCAGGAACCCCATTTGGTCTCAAGGCTTTGGAAAGAAGGAAAACACCCACTCACCACTGAAGGGCTGAGAAAAGCAAAACCAAACAGAGTCAATGAAAGAGGAGAAAACAGCTTGAACACGGGTTTGGGCTTGTTGTTGGATTGGGGTTTGTTTTTTTTTTTAGTTTTGGTGAAAACACACTTCATTAACGTCTTCTGACAAAACCCTTCCCAGCCAACACTGATTATTTTTTTTCTTGTATTTTTTTTTTATTTCCCCATCCATCCCATATTACTGAACAGACTGATGGGTTTGGTCGTATTCACAGAATAAAATTCTTCATTCCCCCGGCGGAAGGAGATGGCTTTATCCCCCCCCGGAGCAGAGCTGCCCATCACCGCCCGAGTCGACTGGCACAAGCCCCCGGCCCTGCCCTGGCCAAGCCTGGGTAGTAACCGGTCTCTGCAGCTTTGCAGGCAAATTTCTAGGGAAATGGGGTAGCTATTTCTTTTAATTTCCCCTAACGCTACCAGTGGTTTATTTTTTTTAAATGGAAATAACTCTAATTTTTGCTTCTCTTTTTGGAACCGCGGACGAGGAAACGCTCCCACTGCCGCACGGGTGGTGCAAAGGCTCCAGCTCTTCCACACAGAAGAATTCAAGGATGTGCAAAGTCACACAGACCCCCATGTTCTCAATTTCCCCTTCACACCAAGCAACACTGTTCATTTTCATTGAAAAAATAAAATTAACATAAACCTAGTGCTTGGCACACTGGCCTGAAGTTGGCAACACCCCAGTAACCACTTGACCTTTGCTGAACCAGGTGGAAATGGCTGATGCAGCAGGGAAGGGGAGAGGTGGGATGGTACAATTAATTTGCCCAAAACAACCAAGATGTAATTAATTAATTAGTTTCCAGGGACTCTGTGCTTGCTCCCTGCCCAGGTTTTCCAGCAGGGTGGTACTGGTGAAAAGGGTTGTAGCCCAACTGTGCTTTCGACTGCCCTGATTTCTCCTACAGCTTCAAATACACTGCAGGAAGAAATCTGCTTCCAGCCACCCTCGACCGACGCAGCTCCGCTCTCCTGTTCTAAGGCTCCATGGTCCCGCAGCTGGCCCCCTGCCCACTACCGTGGAGGTGACATCCCCCTTCCCTGCACCACGGCTGGTCCCGCAAGTCATAGAGGAGAAGACACCGACCCCTCGGCAGGCCAGATCCCCTCTCTGCCTAATTTTAGGCACCTCCTTGGGTCTTACAGAGACCGACTGGGCTCCTCCTGCAGCTCTGCTTCCAAAAGGCAGCAGCATCCCTCCAGCCTGGGCACAGCAGCACAGGCACAGGTTAGCAGGGCTCTGGCTATGAGAGCTGCCCTCGCCAAAAGCCCCTCCAGCTCCCACCTGAGCCCTGATGGTTCCCAGCACAAACTGGCTGGCGCCCAGCCCTGCCCGCTGCGGGCATCCACAGCTTTTAAACACCCCTCTGCATGGCCCGCGGCAGAGGTCCCAGGCATCCGTCCATGCGTGTACCACGCAGAGACTTCCCACGCCCCGAGAAGACCCCTTTTTCCAAGACTCACACACACACACGCGCACGCAAAGGCAAAGTCAACGCAGCTGCTGCATCGCTGAGCCCGACTCCATGCTTTGTGCCGAGTCAGAGCATCACTCGATTGTAACCGCTTAAGGCACAGAACAGTATTAAACGCCGCCCCGCTGGAGACGCTGGCCGGTCCCGCGACCTCCAGGAGGGTTCGGTCCCCTTGTGAACAGGGACACCCAGGTCCCCCCGACTCTGCGGTCTGAGGATCATCTCCTCCGGCTTGGCTGAAGCCCTGTGTCTGTTCCTCTGCAAAAGGTGGTGATCGCCACCAAGCATCTTATTCTTCCACTGCTCCCGGGGATGCTGCCAGCATCGCTGTCATGCTGGGAGAGGGACAAATCCCATTTGCCACGCTTTCCCCAAGAGATAAGGAACGCGGCGAGGGGGGATGACCCCGACGTCGCTGGCGGCAAGAAGGTTACTTGGTCCTAGGCCAGCACCCACACAGTCCGGGAAATGGACAGTCCCGAGCGCAGCTTGGAAATCCAACAACGTGGCGGGTGCCAAGCCGGCGACAAGCAAGAAGGGACCTGTGGGGCCACCGCCAGGACAGCCCAGGGCGGAGGTCTGAACCGCAGAGTGCAAAAGGCCACGGGTCTGGCGGCCGCCCCTCTCCCGCTGGCGTTTCCCCATCCCCGCTGCCGGGGGCTCAGAGTCCACAGTTGACGAAGGGATGTCTCAGCAGGTCCTCGGCCGTCGGCCTCCGCTTCTCCTCCACAAAGATCTGCTTGAGGAAGTTGCGGCAGGAGTTTGAGACGCCGTCGGGGAGCTGGGGGTTGGTCGGCTGGGTAGCGATTTTAAAAATAGCTGCCATGGCTTCAAACTCTGCCCACGGCGGCTTCTCCGTTAACATCTCCACCACGGTGCAGGCCACGCTCCTGCAACAATGCCAAGCATGCAGGGGTGAGACAGCAGGTAAGGGGCTGGCGTGGTGGCTGTGCATCTAATTGGCTCTAGGATTGCGCCTGCCTGGAACGGACTGCGCGGGGAGAAACCCACGTGAGAGATGGGCACACGTCTCCAGTACCTGTGGCTCCTGAAGCTCACTGTTCACACCAGCCCCACCAGCAGGAGTGAACTTGGAAGCCTTGCCCTAAAGTTGGTGGCTTTTCTGCCTATGTTAACTGGCAGATATTAAGTTTCATAAAAGCATGTGAGAGACTATCAGAGCACCCCCTGAAGGGAAAACAAGGCCCAAGCCTAGACATCACAATTTCAGCAATCGCACATAGTTCCCCAAGAAACTGAGCCAGAATGAAACACGTTCACCTACATCCAACTTATCTCTGATGTGCATCTGAGCAGGAGCACATCTAAATGAGCAGCAAAGAGCCTCAGAGGTTTCCCTGTGCTTGCTGAGGAGTTCTCATCTCAGCAGGGACCCTCTCTGCCACCTCCATTCGTAGTTGCTTCTAAAAAACTGAACCCTCCCATCAGCCGGAGCAGGGCTGCCTGCTGAGGTCTCCCTAGGTTTCTCCCCCAAGCAGGCTCCATTGGAGGGACTAGTTTTTGTCGACCCTGCTTGTTTGGGCACCCAACGGAGAGTACACTGCGATGACAGTGCTTCCTCCTCATTTACTGGGAGGATTAGTAGCATTATTCCAACTCTTTCAGGCACCAGCTGACATCCTCCACAGATCAAAACATTCACAAGCAGCCAATGATTTTGGTTGTCTTTGTGCATAAGCCACATGCAAACATCCAGCAGGAGATTTTCAGAGGCCACACAAGATCCCCTTGAGCCTCTAAGCTGGGTTTAGCTAACCTAAAGTCAGGGCCACCAAAACTCAATAGCTCTTTTAGAAAACTTTGTTATCAACCTGCTTTCCAGAATTGAACAGCAGCAACAGGGTTGAGCTGCACGTGACCCTCACATATAAAAGCTTCCAAAAGCAAGCTGTGATTTTGGGTGCTCCTGTTTCGGGACTTTCAGCTACAACATGCTCCCTCTGGATATCCACACAGTTGATCCCAACATTCAGCTCCTCTTTCCGTCCTTTGCACTGCTCTGTCTTCCAACTATTAGCTATACCTGTTGCTCCCATTACAACTTCCCAAAGGGGATTGTTCGATTTCAGCGACAGCGGTGGGGCTTCTACTGTGTTCCTTACCACACATCAGCTTTCCTTCCGTAGCCCTCTCCACTGATAACCTCTGGGCTCATCCAGTACGGTGTTCCCGTGACAGACTTAATCCCAGTCCCAGACATGCAGATGGTCTGGATGCGTTTACTGGCCCCAAAATCTCCAAGTTTCACATTTCCAGCAGAATCTCTCAAAATATTGGCACCTAAGGGTGAAAAGCAAAACCAAAAACGCCACGAGATGAAGCAGCAACCTGACTTGAAGTGGCTACAGCGAGAAGAGCAGGAAAGGCAAAGGCATGGACATGAGGGACCCTTGGTGGGGCTGGACTCAGCATTACACAACCCCCTCTCTCCTATGGCAGCGGCCATCCAAAAGGGTTGACACCCATCGGCTCTCCTTGATAGTCTCACTCAGCAGGTTTCCAAAAAGCAAGCAGTGAATGGGAGATGACAGATCATCCTCTCCATGTGCAGACAGCAGAACAGAGCCACAGATCCCTCTGGTCACCAGGGCTTCTCAATTCTTGGGTATGTTAGACCAGGTTTTTAGATGCGTTAAGGGCAGTTAACAACAATCCCTCTCAAGAGTACTTAATCTGGGCTTCCCCAGCAAGAAGACAGCACAGGATTTTGGTTTCAGCTGCTTGTTCAAGATTGTCATGGTTCAAACTGGTGAAGGCCAGGGGCAAAAGTACTTTAAATAGCAGATTCCCTGCGCTCCATTTTGCACAAGAATTTATATTGGGGTGGGGGAAGGTTGGGTTGAACAAATCCAAGCAAGAAGCCGCTCCGTATTATCTACTCACCTTTAATGTCCCTGTGGACAATCATATTGCTGTGTAAGTAGAAGACTCCTTGCAGGATCTGCCTGGTGTACTTCCGCGTGACGTTCTCAGTCAGAGCACCATACGCTTTTAGCTGGTCCTTTATCGAGCCCTGTTGCAAAGAAACAACATGCACCCACCGTAAGGACCAGCACAACCACGTGCATCATGTTGCAGTGACTTTTTAAACATTCCTCACCACTCTATCTCCCAACTTAAAAAAGCTACTCTGCTGTGGCAACAGCAAGATAAAAATCCACTAAGTGCTGAACGGAGCAAGGACTTGTTCCCAAGGTTCCAGATCCCAGTGGAGAAAGAGGTATGTTCTCCGGTGCAGATCAGTGCTACCTTCTGCCAACACTACAGATCTTTTTCCCCCTCTAGTGGCTGGACATCACCAACGGCTCATGGAGAAGGACCAAACTGATGAGGAGTTACGACTCAAGTGAGAACTCCACTAGTTCTTCAGGGCCAAGCTGGTGAGTCAGTCTTCTGTGAAGCCTCTGCCCCCCCAACTTGTCACACAAGGACTACCCACTGCCATGAGACGGGCAGACTCATGAGGGACATGATCAGCCCCACATGGGACTGCTTCAACAAGACGACCCAGGGTAGACAATCCGCAAGCACCCAGCATTGGGTTTCTGGCCCAGGCATGCCAGCTCCTACTGGTTTGATTTTATTGATCAAAGAGGGAAGGAAGCAGGGGTGCAGACATCTACCGTCTGCAAGACGACCCCCTTGGTTTTAGCTGTATTTTCTGTCCACTTGGAAATGGATGTCCCTCACTTCACTACGCCAGAGCTGGGGTTTAGCAGGGTTGAACCAGAGGCAGATGTGGGGTTCAACCAGAGAGGTCGCACCCAGATCTGCCTCCAGCGTTCGGGATGGCTGAAGAGCAGGAGGGAAAACTCATCCTGTTTCTGCCTGTCCTGCAGCTCCAGGGTTGATCCAAGATTGCCATAGCCCTCCTCTTCTGGGAGCTGTGGGATGCTCTGCTCCAAGTCAGTCACTCAAACTGTATCAGCTTTTCCACATCCTCCCACCTCTGCTGTTGCTCTGCCCAGCTACTGTTTTGGCCTTCTTTTGAGACTGGTGGTGGCCTCTCCTTTCCCTTTCACAGTGCTGCTGAAGTAACCCAAGATGCTCTGACATTACCCCCTCGTACAACTTGTATGCAGGGTACGTTCCCTCACCCATAACCCGAACAATTCTTATCCTGCCTCCTTCGCCCTGATGGGGAGACATCAAACGAGAAGGGGAAACAGGGTCTTCAAGGCCTGTGACCAAACAGACCATTTAATTTTCCGAGCATAAATTCAAAAAAATAGTTTATGGGCAGGGCAGGACAAAAAATAGAGAGTCAGCTATTTAATAGGGGCAATCATAAGAATGCCAGGCTAATGGTGCACCCAGACTTGGCCCCGTGAAGATTTTGCCAAGCTGGCTGTGTTAAATCAGAAGTTTGGCCAGACCCAGCATTGCAGAGCTGCTGTCCTGCAAGGTTTGGGAACTCATTCACTTCCACTGGCATTGGAAACCAAAGCCCTGAGCTGCTTTTGTGAAATGAACCCTTGTTGCAGCAAGAAAGTCAATCTGTATTTGGTCAGAGCTCTGGTTTATCATTAAAAAAACAAACATTCAACTTCCAGCGCTGCTGGACACTGCCCCAGCATCAAATGTTGGTTTCCTGGCTGCTAACAAACATTGGCATGCTGCAGAATAAGCAGCAAGGGGGCTGCCGAAACTCCTGGGGTTTACTCCTCTGGGTCCATGCTTGCCCCAAGGCAGAGAGGGAGGACAGGGCTTGGAAGGGACTCAAACGCATGGAAGTCCACCTGATAACTCACGTGCAACATGTCTTAGGAGAGCTTCTAGCATGTTTACTAATGATCAAAATTATTTGTGACCAGATGACTTAATAGTCCCTTCTGACCTTACAAATCTCTGTATAAACAAGGGTCTTTTCTCCCACACTCTGGGGAATGAATCCAGCTAGACAGGCGGGACGTAGCAGAACAGATCCTCCGGCAATGTAAATAGAGTTATGCTGGTTTATACCACCCGATGACTTTGGATGGCTGATGTAACTCACATGCTCACAAACGGAGAAAGATGTTCGACTACTCTGCGTACATTCTGCAGCCCCTGCTTAAACTCCCTCAAAGCTTCCTGATCTTTTTCCCTAGGGCTATTTTATTCTATATCAGCAAAGTCACAAGCTGAAGCTGCTCCTGCACAAGAGGATAACGCTACCAACAAGAAGTTCTGTCCTGAAGAGAAGACTTACAAGTGAGTAACACTGTTTTTAATACACACGTGCTGAAAACCATAAATAATTGGTGACAGCTGTGGGTGGACAGTTGTACTATTAGCTTTTCCTGCAGGGATTTGTAATAAATACTTAAGGATGGGCTCAGGCCACAATGTTTGGAGCCAGATCTGGATCATGTCCCACATTCACCAAGTTCAGATTACAGACTGTGAACACACCCTGCTCCAGGATTCAAACCTAAAACCTGCCTTCGGGGCTTTTGATTTCGCCGAGTGTATGTTGAGGGGCTTCACCACGACATCTGACTCACAACCAACACTTTCCCAAGCCTTAGGGATGCGTCCACTGTTTTGGTCTGGCTCATCAGATATAGAGCAGCTCAGCTGTAGAGTTTAACTCCAGATCCAAATTTCACCAAACTCCAAGGCAGTCTAAATCTGTTCTCTATCACTCAGGACAATCTTTAGCAGGAGCCACACTTACCCCTGGCATGTATTCAACAAAGATAGACAGTTTCTTCTCCTCCGGATCCCGCAAGCATCCGTAGTACTGCACTATCCTGTCGTGACGGAGAGTCTTCAACAGCTGAATCTCACATTCTAAGGCATTCACCTCCTGAAACAAAAGAGACATGCTTCGTGATGAAGAGGAACGGTTACTTTGGGAATATTATCCAAATATTACTCGATGCTGAGTATTCTTTTCATAGCACCTGTAAAGCTGCCCACAAGGACGCAGGCTCAGAAATGAGGAGCGCTGCCCTAAGAAAAAGCTAAGGAGAAAGACAGATGGGATACACAAGGGTTTGGCTTTGAGACAGGTTCACTTCTTCACTTGTGCTCAAGGAGTTCTTCAGAAAGGTGTGAATGAAGACAGCAGCAAAGCAATGCAGCGCCCAGAGTGAGAAGGTGAGTGGTGCAAAAAGGCTGAAACTAAGGAAGAGCAGTCAGACCTTCAGGAGATGATACCTGAGACACAGCGGGCCAACGAGACCAAGGAACTGGAAGTAGAGTGGTCACCAGAGCATGCTGACTGGTGCCACAAGCCATTGGGGACCACTCCACAGAGGGCAAACACCACGCACTGTCGCCCCACACTGCCTTCCAAGTGGGACACGGACCTCTCTGCCACCTCTACCCTCAGCCTCCAGTCCCCAATCCCCCAACACGCTCTGGAATACAGTCCTGCCCTGATACTTACTTTACTCGTCTCTTGACTGTCCGGGTCGAAAGGCACCTGCTTCACTGACAGCTCCCGGCCAGTGTCAGCATCGTAGCAGAGATAAACTTCCCCAAAAGCTCCTCTTCCGAGCAGCTTCCCCAGCCTCCAGTTCACAGGTGCCTGCAGGGCTACAGGAGAGAGGAGAAGACTGAGAGAGGAGCACAGCAGGGACAACTCAGCATCAGGGTCCGTCTGACCCTATGGAGTGCACATCAAGCTCACAGTGAGCTTGGCAGGGCAGGCAGCGAGACACCCTCTCCCAGGGGCACCACAACAAACCAGTTTTAATCGCACGAGTGCTACTGGTGCGTGCGTGGGATGTCTCCCAGTCTAAGTTAGTATAAAGTAGAAACAAGTCCCGGAAAAGTCACGTTTCTTTAGAGTCCTTCCCTCTAGAAACTGCTTTCTCAGCTACCATTGAACTTTGCTCTGCTATAGGAGGGGAAGCAGGGCACAGCACGGCTGAGCAGCTACCCAGGCAGGGACCAGCATCGAGTTCTATCTCACCAGTCATTTCCATCACTGAACAGGCCCAGAACGCACCAATTTCTATAGCATGAGCAGTCTTGCAATACCAGAGCAGCCTGTAACACCTTGGGACCCATTTTCTCCTGCATCCCAAGTCTCCTGGAAGCTTCTGCTGTGCGAGCGCATTGACAGTCCAACACACAAGCAACTTTCTGCAACTCAGCAAGTGATGAACACCAGCTGTTCCCACACGCGCCCTCAAGTCAAGGCCAAGGTAAAACACAGAGCGTTGTATTGAATCTTCCTCACTGAGATATAAGCTAGCGCAGCATGCCTCGTGTTGGGGACGGAATCAGAGTGCGTTCACACGCAGTTAGCTTAGCTGATGACGGTAACTCAAGTTTGTGTCGCGACTCAGATGTACTGAGACCTCAGACATTAGTGGCTTCGATTCACTTACAGTTCCTAGCTTTCGTAGGGGAGGTGCTGAAGACCTGCAGACCTTTTTCACAATTGTTCCACCATTTGGGCCTGTACTCGTCATACTGTAAGGTGCTGAGCTTGCTGTCCCCATTAAAGCTCTTGGTTCGGCTAGAAGGGACAAGCTGAAAGAGGTTCTCCTGTGGGAAGAAACTCCTGGGGAAAGTCCTCCGGCCTGTAGGAGAAAAGGGGGAGAGTTATGACAAGAACACACACACACACCAGCTTGGCTCTACCCATCACCACCTTCTCACGTCACTGCCCAGATCCAGTGATGCACCTCTTCAAATTAAACAAAACAAGTTTAACGAAACTGAAGCAAAGCCCTGTGAACATTTTTAATTCAATTTAAGAGCTGTTAACAGCAGGCACTACATCTAATGCAGAACGTTTCCAAAGGGGTTTGCAACAATTTAATTACATTAGGGGTTTTGTTGGTTGTCAATCACAATTAAACTCTGAACAGGCAGGGATTTACATACAAATTATCCCTGGCATCTCCTAAGACCACAATACAAATGACCACACAAGCAGTGCCAGATCTCGTGAAAACTGCTTTCACAAGGGTGGTGTCAGTGGGAGATGAAGTTCATTCTGGAAGGTTCAATATGCTGTCTGCACGTCCTCAGTATTTTAATTTTTTTTTGTCCAAGGGAATTTGATTCTTCTTCAGTTTTGCCTCCCACCTCTTGCAATCTCATACAGCCAAAAGAGCAGCAAGGAGGTGATGGAGTGGTCCCAAAAGCTCAGAGCTCACCAGTTTAAAAGACAGACATGCACGGATACTGCTGCCCTGCATTTGCTAGGGGATTTCTTACAGCTCTGAGAAACCTGCCGTAAAGGTCACAAACCAGCATCTCCAAAGCAAGAGATTTATGGGAACAGAGAGGTTGATGTTGCCAGGGATGAGAAATGCCATCCATCCATGTGGCTAAATTAAAGCAAAAGGCATAAACAGAGGAGGAGCTGAGCACCAACTTTCATACACGCTGCTGATGCTCAGCACGTCCCAAGAGCAGACCCGCGCGGTGTCACAGAGGATGCTCTTCAGAATGCGCAAGCAAATCCCAAATTACTTAGTGGTTCTCCCTTTAGTAGAAACCTCTCCTTCCCAAGTCTCTCCAGTCCTAGGCACTGTCACAGGCCACCGAGATCCTGGACCAAGCACTTCCCTCCCTTATTTTCTTACCGTCACTGTAGTCCTTGCGACTTTGGGAGAGGTGGTACTGCCTCGGGAAGGTCCCACCTTTCCCAAACCTCTCGCAGAATGGGATGTCAAAATCTGTCAGGAGGGAAAAAGAGATGCGTTTCTGAGATCAACTTGCTATCAAACGTCCAGAGCATGTCTTATGCAAAAGCATTCTGGTCTTCAACGCTGAATTACAGGCAAGACCGAGGCAACAAATTGTTCATTTACATGACCAGACATTCCCCAAAGCTCACCCTGAAACCTGTGCGCAGTCACACACTCCTGAGAGGAAAATGAGGGTTATACGCACTGATCTTGGTCCCCCTAAAGCGAACAGAGATTTAATCACTGACTATGAGGACCCTGGCCCACACTGTTCGAATACAAGGCAGGGGATTAACATCAACCAGGCTCAGTTTCCAAAAGAGAGCACTAAACATCTTATTTGCATATGGAAAACACAAAAATTAGCGTGGAAACAGAATTGCCAGGCAGGGTCAGGCCCAGATCCATCTACCCCAGAATCTCTGCTCTAATATCAGGTACTTCCAGGGAAACGCAGAGATCCAACACTTTGCTAACACCAAACAATCCCTCACCTCTTTCTTCTCAGATGTGACTCCTGACCTCTGAAAGCCAGAGACAAATTTATACCCCCAGAGCTCCAAAGTTTTGTATTTACTTTGATTAAATGCTAGAAAGATGGACTTAGAATATACAGAAGGGACTAAAGACCATCAGAATTTAGATTAGACATGAGATTATGAGAGAGATGGATGGACATGTGAGATAAGGACACATTTTTTAAATTAAAAAATGCAGCACAGGAAGCCATTGCTGGTAGCACTGAATAACTTGATATTAAAATATCTGTCATTTCCCCCCCCCCAATCTTTCACCTCCTGTTTTTCCTCCATCCAACTCTAATGACACGGTCCGTTCTGATTGTTTGTTTGTCTTAGCCTGGGGCCAGCAGCCGCTCCTTGGAGACCATTCCTGGCCTCAGCCGTGCTTCAGCATGATTTCCCCATTACAGCAGCGCGCAAGAGGAGCGCATAATGGCTGAAATATGGTCAGCAAGAAAAGCAACAAGGACAGGTCAAGAGGTTCTCAATGAGCCACGTGTGAGCAACGATGCCGAGTGGTGTCTCAAAGCAAAATGCCTCCCCTACCACTAGGGATGTATTAAAACCTCCAGCGACGTGGACTGACTGCAGCTTCAGCTCTGCGGTTCAATCTAGAAATCCTGCCTCGGGCCAGAAACGAGTTATCATGCCACAGGCTGACTGCCATTTGTTCATTTTTAATAGCAAAAGTCATTACAATATTGCAGAGTTTCCATGATTTAACCAGCTGGATGTTTATAAGTGATTAAGCAGTAACCTATGGTCCTTGCAAGTTACCAATACATTTTCTCTAAGAGCATTTGCAGTGTTACAGATTATTAATGCAAGTGGAAGAGGTAGAACTCCCTAGAGTTTGGGACTCTGGTTTTGCTATGTAGGAACTCAGGATCCCGAAAGGGCAACTCACAGAAACAAAAGGCGGTGCCATAAGGCTGTTCCAGCTTCTCAGCACCTCACAGTTGTCTCCAAATATAAGAGCAATACCCCCTCAGCACCTTCTTCCAACACGGCACTCATCTCTGATCTTTCAACAGCTTTATTTGCTTTCATCCACTTACCTCAGGGCCCCTGCTACCCAGTTTGGACTGTTGTTGCTGCAAACTGATTCCCAAACCAGGCCCAAAGGTTCTTCAGTGAGACCACTATCGCTGCAGAGCCAAGAAGTGTTAACGATGGCAAGAGCAGCCCTGCCTGTAGTTTATGCTCCGGGTCTTTTGATTTTAGAGAATATCCATGTTTGATCATTGTGGGGGTCATTTTTGAAGTGGAGCTTCAAAAAGCAATGGAGCTGGTTTGCTTGACTGTTTTTAATTACTCTTCATGCGGTGCCACCCCTCTAATAGCCTTTATCCAGTTTCTTTAGCGCCTGCTTTTTATACTTTTAAGCAAATACAAACTTCCAAGTGTGCTTACCCATGCAATCAAGACTGTCTTTGGGATGGCTCTTCCTTCCAGGAACAGGGGTTTGGGTAAAGGGAGGGCTGCAAAGGGAAGAAAAAAAAAAAAAATAAGGGTACATTATCAGAAAGTCTGTGGAATGAATTAGGAAGTGATTACACGCAGAAAGGACAGGTTATATACAAGACGCACTGATCACTGATCAGCCCGGTCTACACAACTGAGCTCCCATCTTCAACCCACATAAGAACGAAGACTCTTTTTTTGCTGGATCACAGCTCGTTCCTGTGGCAAACAAAAGGGATGCTGCAGAAAACACAGTCACCAGACTGAAACGAAGCAGCCACCAAAGACCGTAATACCTACGCACAAGACGGCACAGAAGGAGGGCTGCATATTTCCCTTCCCTCAACATCAAGTGTTCAACTGTGCAACATTCTGCATTGCTTAGTTGCTGCAGATGTACACACTGGAGTCCCTCAGTTACTCTTCATTCATGCAGGTCTCCCCTTCTCTGCAACATCATCCCCCACCTCCCTCATGCAGGAGCGTCTGTACCACCCCTGGGCACACACACTCTCCCAGGAGACCAGGAAGGAGAGAGCGAGCTCGGTGTTTCAAGGCTCGAGGTCTTTAAACTGCATTGAGAAGATGATAAAGCACTGCAAGGGGATCTCAGCGATTCTAATTTCACCCAACTTCTGCAAGAGGCAACAGGGCCCGTTTAACAAAATGCGCACAGTAGTAGAAATCTGCTTTTGTAAAGTGCTCTGAAATCTACTCATGTCAAAGCTGATCACAACAGGTTTGCTACAGAGAAGAGGAATTTGTCATGTTATTTCTTAGCATCAGATGGGTCACCATGCCTGGTGACTAGCTCTGCCCTCTTGAGGCTAATGCCATCTCAAGCAATTGGCTGCAAGGGCCCAGCTACGGCTTTGCAGGAATAGTCATGCTTACTCCTCTCTCTGCCCTTGAAGAATATAGCCCTCCTCATGCCTCCTCCAGCTCCTAGACCCCATGACTGAACACAGCTGCCTGCTTCTCTCTCTGTGAAGCCAAGTCATACTACCCTCTCACAACCATGCGTAACACTCTTGGTTCGCAATAAAGCATTATAATCAGGCCGTGCTCCTTCTGTTGTTCTTCCTAGCAAAGTCTATGCAAAAGCGAAGCTGGGGCATAGAGGCTGGGAGCACAAGGAATCCAGCTTCAATACAGCCGTAACAATGAGCAAATACATCACAGGAAATTATTAAAAGCCACAAAAAGGAAATGGACCTTGATGCTGAGACAGATCCAAAGTGCACAGAGCTGCAAACCTGAAGCACGCTACACAATCAAATCAACACAACGCAGACCTGCTGGAACACAGCCTTCATGCTGTATGGCAAAAGCAATGGGGGAAAAAAAAAAAAAAAAGAAAATCTTTGATGCAGATGGAAAAAAAACACATATACTGCTTCCCAAAAGGACACTGTGTCTTATACACAGCCCACCGTGCACAGCAGCAAACATACAGTTGCTGTGCACGTGTGAGCTTGGACCAACCAGCCGCACCAACTATTGAACTGCAGCCTGTGTTAGTACAACGTGTCCTAGTTGCTTTCTGCTG